CCTTCCACATTCTGGGGCCCGGAGTCAGAGATCAAGGTGGGCAGGACTGCCCTCCCTCCGCAGGCTCCAGGGGAGGGCCCTTCCTGGCTCCTCCAGCTCCTGGGGGCTCCAGGCGTCCCTGCCTGTGGCCGTGTCCCTCCCGTGTCCGCCTCCATGGTCACATGACTTCTGCTCTGTGTCAGAATGCCCCTTTTATGAGGACATCAGCCATAGGATAGGGCCTGCCCTGCTCCGGTGTGACCTCATTTCAACCTGATTGCATCTGCAACTACTCCAAAATAAGGGCCCGTCCTCAGGTTCCTCTGGACACGGATTGGGGGGGCACCATTCACCCCAGCACAGACATGGACACTTGTTACCCCACTGTAAACACCAGCTCACCTTCCCCAGTGCCCTGTGATGGGAAGGCCGTCCTCGTCCCAGCTGACTGATGAGGGGACCTGGGCTCTGGGGACAAAGCCAAGTGTCTCGCGGTGGGGGGTGGGACAGGATGGGGACTCACGCCTGGGCACCCCAGCATGACGCTCAGGAAACAGCCGAGCCCCAAGGAGAGCCTGGCCAGCCTGGGGTCTGCCCCAGAATAACGGACTGGAGCCCACAGGGCAGCTGCCTGCAGCGTGGGGCCTGGGGTCTGGGAAAACGGCTGCCCAGAGGCTGAAGTCGGGGCATCTGGGGAGATCTGACTGGAGCGTAGATCCAGTATTAATTTGCTGCGACCCTAAGCTTCTCAAATTGGACCCCTTTTCTCCCATCTTAGGGTTGGAGGGGGTTGCCTGCAACTCACTGCCAAGGAGCTCTGGAAGACCAACGGGGGAGGGAAGAGGCCCAGAGGGAGGGAGGGCAAAGTGCAGAACCCACCAGGGAGCCAGGCGGAGGGGGGCCGCCATCCCCATAAGGCTGTAGGCCGAGGACTGGCTAAAATTAAAGGCCGAACGAGAAAGAGCCCTCCTGAGATCCCACTATGGCAAAGACACCAGCAACGGAGTGAGGAACCCGTGGACCACCGGGAAGTCTCGATAGGGTACACCAGTTCACTAAGGGAGAGCAGCTGACATCTTTCTGGGGAAAGTACTAGTTGAGCGATGAAGAGCCCCTGGAGGTGAGAGGCTGAACCCCCAGGGAGCCTCTCCAGCTCAGTTCCGGGTGTGCATCCTGGACGGCCCCACACCACCCCCACTGCCGTCAAGTCAGCGCTAACGGAGGTGTGTGATCTGCACCAGTTCCTGGGGCGGCGGTAACAAAGCAAACTGGACGGCTGAAAACAACAGAAATCATGCTCCTACGGTTCTGGGGCCAGAAGTCCACAATCGAGGTGGGCCGAGCTCCTGCTGCAAGCTCGGAGGATGGTCCTTCTGCCTCTTCCAGCTCCTGGGGGCTCCAGGCGTCATCCCTGGACTTCTGGCCATGTCCCTGTGTGTCTGTCTCCTTCTTCCCAGGCTGTCTCCCCTGTGTGTCTGTGTCTCTCATCTTGCATCTCTTAGAAGGACACTCATCTCAAGACCCTTTTTCCAAATGAGGCCCCATTCACAGGTTCTGGGGGGCACCACTCAACCCAATGACCACCCTGTCCCCCGCCCATTTCCTAGGCCCCTCACCCCCTCGGTGGCCCAGACATCTCTCTAGGACACACAGTAGATGACAGCCCCTCTTGCCTGAACCCCTCCCAGGGCTCCCTAACCCTGAAGCATAAAACCCCCACTATCCTCCCTCCCCCACTGCCTGGAGAGGGTTGGATTTCAAAGCTCCCCCTTTCAGAAAAATGCACATAAAAAACTAAGCGGAGACAATTTAGCTGTGGACAGATGGGTGTAACAATGAAAATCTGACGTCATCTTCTCTCTCGTCTGTGAGTTTGAGGGGTTTCCTAAGAAAAATTAGAAGGCAAACGCTGTGTGACCAGGCAGGGATGGCGTCCTGGGTGTACGATGCTGGAGACATGAGAGCCCATGGAGGTGAGAGGCTGAACCCCTCGTGGCCAGGAGAGGACTCTGCCCGGCGGCGGCCAGCATGGGGCGAGGAGGGAACCAGCTGTACGGCATAGGCTGGAGCCGCCCGGCCAGGGCTCCAAGGCAGGACACAGGGCCAGGGAGGCTGAGCCAAAGGCCTGGGGTGCCCAGTCCTGAGGGTCAGCAGGGGCTGGGCTTCTAGCCGTCCCCAGGGCAAAGCTGCAGAGACAGGCCAAAGAGGAGAGCTGTCTCCTTGCCATTCTGTCGGAGGAGGACATCCAAATCTGGAATCTCAGCCCCTCCCGGAGAGGGAGCCGGCCTCAGAGGCCAGGAGCTGGGGACGGAGCAAGGAAGGGCACCTGCGGAATGCAAGAATGGCCGTCTGTCCCCGCCCCCATGCACCGGCGGGCAGCAAGCAAGGAGCACGGGCTGGACACGAGGTCAGAGAGTGATGGAACTGGGCTGCTCTTGAGCAGGTCAGAGACGCCAGATGGAAGACAGGACGCCCAGTTACATTTGAGTTTCATATATAGAACAGGGACATTTTAGTGTAAGTCGACCCCAGACACTGCATGGGATAGACTTACACTTTTAACATCATGGATTTTTTTTTTTTAAATCTGAAATTCAACCTGCATTTTTTTTTTTTAAAGATTTTATTTATTTATTTGAGAGAGTGAGAATGAGAGAGAGTACATGAGAGGGGGGAGGGTCAGAGGGAGAAGCAGACTCCCCGCCGAGCAGGGAGCCCGATGTGGGACTCGATCCCAGGACTCCAGGATCATGACCTGAGCCGAAGGCAGTCGCTTAACCAACTGAGCCACCCAGGCGCCCTCAACCTGCATTTTTATTTGCTAAATCTGGCCACCGTTGCTGGAGTGGTCCTGGAAGGCTTCTCCTGCCCCAGGGTGCGGCCGGGACGTAGCAGGACAGGGATCTGACCAGTGGGCGGGGACCGGGAAGACTTTCCGGAGCGGGGGCCAGAACACTGGGTCTTGGGGGAGGCACAGCTTGATTTTGTAAACAAGAGCAAAGACCGCCTGGCAGCCCTAATATTTCCCACGAGATCTGTCCTCAGCCCAGCCCAGGGAGGGCAGGAGAGGGGGCCGTGGAATTGCACCCAGGCCGGAGGGACTTTGAAGCCAGCTGGCCGCTTTCCTGGTCATTCTGCACGTAGCTCTCGCCCCCCTTCTGAGCGGCCTTGTCCAGCCCTCGGCCCCCAGGCTGGGACTCCTGGCCACTCTGAGACTCCCAGGCACTGAGAGTGAGTCTCCAAAGAGCAGAGCCCGTTCATCAGCAGGTCCTGGCCCCTCTCTCCTCCAACACTCCCCACAGCCCATCTTGCCTCTGCCCAGCCTCCCTCCTCCCGGGTTGCTGCCTCCCCCAGCCTGCCTGGCTGTCCTCAGACTTGCCCTCACCTCCCCACGCTGCTGCCCCCGCTCTGAACATCACAGCCTCTGGAAGCTGCCAGGCTGGATCTAAAGTAGCCCTCCCTCACCCACAGAGGGGCAGGAAACTTCCCCTTCTTCTCTTCTAGGGCTTTGGTGGTCTAATCCTTAAATTGACATAAAACAGATGAGCAGGAGAGAAACAAACAGAAGGTTAATAACATGAGAGACACACAGGAAAACGGAGAAACGCGGGGCGCCTGGGTGGCTCAGTCGGTTAAGCGGCTGCCTTCAGCTCAGGTCATGATCCCAGGGTCCTGGGATCGAGCCCCGCATTGGGCTCCCTGCTCAGTAAAAGTCTGCTTCTCCCTCTCCCTCTGCCTGCCTCTCTGCCTACTTGTGCTCTCTGTCAAATAAATAAATAAAATCTTAAAGAACAAACAAACGGAAAAACGCTCCCCAATGACCAAAGCCAGCCCCTTAAAAACCACCTTCGGCTAAAGCCAAGAGCTGAGGCTGGGGGTGGGGAGTCTGCTAGGGGAGGTGGACAGGGTGAGGTTGCACATTCAGGTCCCTGCCTGCTCCACCATGCGGGTTTCAGGAGACTGCGTGATCCCTCTTCCTGGCCTGTGAGGGAGACACCCGGCAAACGGGCTTTCCCTTGTAAGTGTCTCTTGCAAAAGGATAACTTCTCAATTCTTCAGAGCTCCTCTGGTGTCTGCAGTTCTTAAAAATAACCAGTACAGGGTGGCTCCGTCTCCTTAAGCCTCTGCCTTCGGCTCAGGTCATGGTCCTGGCGTCCTGGGATCGAGTCCCAAGTCAGGGTCCCTGCTCAGCGGGAAGCCTGCTTCTCCTTCTGCCTCTCTCCCTCTTGTCTCTCGTGAATAAATAAATAAAATCTTTAAAAATAAATAAATAAAAAAGTATTTGTTCTAGTGGTGCTTGTCTGGCTGGGTTGGTAGAGCACGCAACTTTGGATCTCAGGGTTGTGAATTCAAGCCCCACCTTGGGTGTAGAGATTACTATTATTATTAAAAATAAAATGTTAATAAAACAAAAAGTAAGTCAACAAGCATTGGTTGTAAAGCATGGTTTTCCAGACAAAATGCAGCACAGCCAGTTAGTGTGAATTTCAGGTAAATAGCGAGTGCCTTCTTGGCACAACGATGTGCAGATACTGCATGGGATACTCACGCGAGGAAACGGAAGTTCAAACCTAACTGCCATCCAGGTGTTTTTATTTGCTAAATCCGGCAGCCCGCCACAGCCCAGGACACACATCCCACCTGTTCACAGGGATCCCGACCCCTTCAACATGCTTTTCTTCTTCTCCGTATTGTCACAAAATACACATAATTTAAAGCGAGCATTTCAACCACTTGGGAGTCTACACTTCTGTTCTGACGTCACAGTCTGAGAGGCTGAAGACAGGGAGGAGGGGCCCAGCGCAGTCCTCGCAGGTCCCGCCCCCGTTTCCTAGCAACGCAACCACGCCCCCAGGCCGCGGGGCGTGGCCGTCAGGGTCATGTGGTACCTCTGCCGGCGCCGGCTCGCTCCAGCGCGTGCGTACGTGCGTCCGCGCGCGTGCGCAGGGGGGCGGCCGGCGTACCGTGCGCGTCCCTGCTCCTCGACGTCGCCCTGCGCGCGCGCGCCCGGCCCTCCCTCAGGTTCTTATAGCGCCGCGGGCGGCGGTTGGCGGCGGGGACGGCACGGACGGTGGCGACATGGCGACTCTGCGGCTCGTGGTGCTGGCGCTGGCGCTGCTGAGGGCCGAGGTCGGCTCCGGGGCAGG